GGAACCTACGGCTCAACCAGCATCTTCAGATTTATTTCTTAACTGAAATCAATAGCAGAAGTTGTATTTTTGATGACTGGAACTGTTCTCCATGTGAGTTCACAGATCCCAGGGTATTCAGAACCAAAGATTTCAGATCATCTTTCAGCATCAGCCAGGCCTGCACACAAATCTGTATTTGTCCTTTGATTCTGACCTGCTGGGTGATTTCAACTAAATAAAAATAGAAGGCAGGAGATCTCTAATGAAAATAAATCCTATTCCTGCAAGTTTCACAGAAGCAGGTGAACCAGGAGGAGGGAGACTTGTGTTTAATGAGTTTTGAGTTTCTCCCAGTACCTTTAGAACAACTGATTCCTGAAGCAAATTTGCCATCAACACATTTGCCAGCAGCAGGTTATCAGTTTACTGGGAGATAATAGAAAACTTGAACTTAATATAGTTAGGAAGGCAACCACTATGAGACCCAAATCCACTGAAAATTGGTTTCAGGGAATTGCTAAGTTGCTAAATAAGACACAAGGCCGTTTTTGCACCTTGGGAAGTGCAGGATATTTGCTGCACATTGCATAAACAGGATTGTCCCAGCACATGCCAGGGAAAGGGAGAAGAAGGGGTGAGTTCTTATAACTCAAACTGCTCTGAGAAGATGAATCAGATCAAAGATTGTAAGAGGCTTAGGACTGAAACCATCAGTCAGATATTACAGCACTGCTATGAGGAAGGTAATTCATCAAAGCTTCAGCTCTGCTTATGGATTTGAACTCTGCATCAAGGACATTTTAAGTGACCCTGTTTTATCATTCTAGAACTTGCTTTGCTCATTCAGGTTCCCAAATGTCTCAGGATCCTCAGTAAATAAACACTGAAATTCAGACTGTTGAATGTGAAGCACAAATGTTAAAAACTATTTTGGGCCAGCAATTTGGGAGTAATTTTTTCTCAATCTATTTCTATTTCAAACACAGCCTGATCAGTCCTTTTAAAAAGATTCTGCCAATCTTTAATTAATCAGGAAGAGCTGCTAATTGTTAATATGATGCAAACTCTAACACTTCCAAGTTGCCACTGTGCACACAGATTATAAAAACATTGCTGCTCTGGTCTATTAAAAGATCAGAAAGCACATGATCCTCCCTTCTCAGCACATCATTCCCTACAGAAGGAGTCAAGGACTGAGGTGTGGAAAAAGTTCCCAACTAAGTAAATAATTGTCACCTCTTCTGGTAAGCCTGTTGTCATCACTTATTAATTTTCTTACATTTTTCTCAGGAAATTATTTTTTCTCCAAAGACCTCCTTTTCATTAGGAAAAATAACAATTTGTTTGACTGTCCACAGTGACTTCTGTTGATGATAATGCACTTCAGCCATCCCAGTAAGTGCAATCAGTCAGGATAAAATGATGACTTTGGAATAACAGAATCTCGAGTTTAAGTTATTTGGGATCTACAATTTCAATGTTGAGAAAGAAAACATCATCTCCCTTCAGCCTCACACCCCAAAGCATTTAAAGGCACAAAAGCTTCTCCTTAATACAATTACAACCCAAGCAGCTGAAACCAAGATGCTGCTTTTTATAGAAAGGATTTAATTTTGATAGACTTGGGTGAAACTGTGACTGTTTCACACTGGCTGAAAACATCCAGTCAGCTCCTCCTTACAGCTCAGCCTTTGGGATGGGCCCGTGGCTGCTGCATGGCTGGCACAGCTCAGGAGCAGCACAAATTCAGGACTTGGATAAATCCTGCTGTGATTGAGGGGATGCTGCTGCCAAGCACAGCAGCAGAATCAGAGTGTCAAATAAGCTGATTCTGAGTTTCTCTCTCTGCCTTGCAATTTCCCCTCATAATAAGCTAAAAATATAGACAGTAAGATTAGAAGGATCAGGAAAATGAAAAGCTTTTAATGCTGCTTCTTCTGGAAACAGGGAAGATATAAATTAAAAGAATGTTTGGTACTATTTTTATGAGTTTGTACAAATAATTAATGAGATGTTCCACGTGGAAAAACTCAGGTTGGTGTTAAAGCACAAATTTGCACAGCCTGTCCTGAATCTTTCACAGCCTTTTGGGGGCCAGTAGCCAGTAGCAGATATTTGGGTATTTCTAAGGGTCAGGCACAGGGCGCAGCTTCACTCTGCAAAAACAAATGGATGTGGAGGACAGACCCCTGCACAAGCAGGAGGTGTTTAAATCATCCGAGTTCTGCTGCTCCACACCAGTGAAATGGTTGCCCCAGCAGAAACTGGCATGGGGCTGAGAGCAGCTGAGATTACAGCTAATGCAGTATATAATTGCCTTTCATGAAAAAACAAAACACCAGCCATCTGAGGCATTTCCAAACATGCTGCTCCAATAAGGATTCCAGGGAGTTAGTCTTTAGACGTGCCAGCAGAGCCAGTAGTCCCCAAGGAATGCCAAAGGATTAAACAAGAGCTGCATTCATTCATGGCTGTCATGTTCAAACATTAGAAATCTTGCATTCAACATACAGAGCTAACATTTGACCCCAGTGTTTTAGAAAGAGAAAGAAAAGCAGCTCTGAAAAATCATATTGGCAAGGCAGAGCTCTCTATTTCTTTTTAAGGAGGATCTATTTTGATACATTCTCAGTCCCTCCCAAAAAAAACTTTAACAGGGCTAAAAGATAAAGGGAGGAACATTAAATGAATTATGCAATCTGCCCAAGCTGAGTAAATAAAGGCTGTCTTGGCTATCCACAGTCAGAAGATGGCAAACAGATACAACCTGAAAGTCAGACAGGAAATCTTCAGGAGCTCTAGGAAGTTGTAGCAATCAGCAGAGCGAGCCCTGCTCCTTCCTGCAGTGCAATCACAGGGGGAAAGATGCAGCAATTCCCCACGGGATACATCTGGGATGAGCCTACAGGACAGCTGGGGTTCTGCCCTCCCCACAAAGCTGAGAGCTTCTCTTTAAGGGAAACCATACAAATTATGTAAAACTCTTTTTGCCAAATAAAATCTCCCTCTTCATCCCTAAAGATATGGACATTTGAGGTCCCATTTCCAAGCTTTTCTGCTTCAGACAACCCATCCCTCTCCCCTGAGTACACAGAAAGCTTTAGTGCACAGTACAGACAGAAAATCTCCCAGCATGTATACAAGGACTGGGCAGGAAACGAACCTTGAAATCTTCGTCATTTTACAGCAAGAACTAACAATCATGTAAAAGGTGAACTGTTAAACCCTCCTTAGAATAAGAAATGCTGCTGTGGGTGGAGGGGAGGTGTTTACTTTTCCTTCACAGTATCTGCTTTGCAATCTTCCTACTCTTGCAGCAGGTGCACATGGACACACTTCAGGAAAACCACTCTCTGCTGTTGCTAGTTTCAAATTTACATGGCATTCGGAATGCATATTCCTGCTCCTTCAATAAAATACTTTGCAAAGCAGCCAGCATCAAGGCACTTCCTCTTTTGTACCTCTTTTTCTTTCTTCTTCCTACGTGTCAACACAAGTATCACATGCTTTAAAATCCTTCTGCTCAAAGATCTCAAAGCAACCTGTGAACTTCTATAAAACCCTGCCCATTCAGCACAGTGGGTAAATGAAGGGGTGGGGAGGAACATGTCTTCATTTCACAGTCATATATTTAATCACCAACATATACAATCACAGAGTAGACTTTCCTCCCCATGCTCTATTTTGGAAAATTTCTTTGGTGTTGGCTTTTGTTTGTTTATATCTTGAAAAATTATTTAAAGCACGGAATCAGCACCGAGATGAAAGGAAAAACTAACTGCTGATTTTTTTATGCAGCAGGAGCCACATTACCCTGTGAGTAACACAGCAATTACCCTGTGCCCCATGACAGCTATGGCACAGAAAAGGGAGCACGGCATCGCCCCAGGTCCAGCGCTATAGCGGGAACAGGAGGGGCCTGGAGCAGCGCCTGTGCCCGGGAATCCCGCAGCTCCCCGGTGCCCAGAACATGGCAGCGAACTCTCCTGAGCCACCTGAGGGGCTGCCAGAGCAGCTCACCTGGAAACCAGCAGGTTTTACAACGCGAGGATGGGCAGCGGCCATAAATAACAAATCCAAAAATGCCAAGGTAGATGATTAGTAAAATATCCGTATGTAAATGCTGGAAACTGCAGGTCAGCGCTTACCGAGGAATATAAGGAATACCCTGAGCTCTTCCCTCAGAATCAGCCGCTCAAGCCACCACCAACCCAGCACAGCGCCGCAGCTTCCCAGGGCGAGACTCGAGCAGCGGCTGCGATC